AACACTAAGAAAGCACAATTTAACGAAATCATATTTTCGCAGATTCAATGAACTTCGCGAGAGTGACGTCCTTTTGCGAAAGTCCTCCACAGTCATGAGTGCTTAACGTAATATCCACCTGTAATAGACAATAAAATTGTGAGTAAAACTTACTACATATTGCTCTGCAACATATAATACTTCCTATTAGTTTCACCTTATTATACACATTGAACCATTCCGGGTGGTGATCCATCTTTTCAGCCTTCAACGCTATTCTTGACATGAAACCGAATGCCTGAACAATGTGATTCTAAACAAAATTATAATTTATGTATAAAAGCTCTTGAGATAGGAAGAGTGGAAGGAGAGGTACTTGGGATGAAGGGCGTCACTGGCTTCATTTCAAACGATTTTCTGAAAAGTTCAACTCCATATTTTTGGAATTAATTGACTTACAAAAATGGACTTTCTAATAAGTAAAAAATCAAATTTTTCTAGATAAAAGCCGACCCAAATTTTCCCATTTCTTACTTTTACCTTCACTCTCAATTCCATGCGATTAAATGTCGTAAATTTTTTATTCAGTCGTTATGAGGTGGAATAGTTTAGTAATCATAAAAATTTAAGGAGACCGCTACTACTTTAGTTACCGCTAAAGTAGTAGCGATCTCCTTAAATTTTTATGATGACTGCCCCAACTTGTCTTGCTGATCGATGCAGATATTAGATTTATTTGGAATTTGGAACTTCATTTCAAAAAAAAATCGATGACTTTTCATTACATACAAGGGAAATCACCGAAAAAAGTCTTGTAAATAGAAACACTACGGTTATTAGCAAACCCCTTGATCCTGGCTGTGTCTAGTTTGAGATCCAGTGAGTGGGCAGTTCCAAAGTTTGGCTGAACTTCCTCAAACTTTTGAGGACCATCATAAGAAAAAAATAGAGCTTTTAAAGCCATCGCAAACATCTCGCTCCTACTGATTAGGAAACACATGTAAGCGAAAGCTGTCTTTACCTATGAAGTGTATACTAACAACATCTCCTTGAAGCAACAAATTCAGTTCCTTCATTATTTTTGGGATTGTGATAGTATGGACAATGCTAATCATATACGTAGGGTGAAGTTCTTCTTAAGCATGTTACGCTTAGGTGGCAGCACAAATGGCACCGTGGCAGTTGTATTGCACCTAGTATTGGAACAACTTAGTATCTTCTCTTGGTGAAGATAATTTGTATTTACACTAAGTGTTTTGAGCTTTTACCAGTAAAACCTTCTTATAGAAATCTCCTGTTCTATCCCAATAAATAGCATCTGCCAGAAATACGTCCTTTTCTAATTTCGAAACATCTTAACTACAAGAATGCTTTAAAGAGTGAAGTGATCTCGTTTGAGATATAGAGAAAGTCAGGGAAACAAGCGAAGGTAAAAACAAAAAACTAGTAGTGCAACTAAGGCCAACTTTTAATTGCGAAGATTTTTTAGTTTCCTTTCTCTACATGGAGTAAACTCTTTACTTTATATTAACACAGCAAAGTTCAAGGAAAGCGTTAAGATGAACAGATACGCTTTATTTTAAGAGAACGGTTACAATTACCGTCAGCTCTGTAGAAGTGAGGTAACTCCCGCTTTTAAAGATATACATACTGTTAGAGGATGGTAATTTTGAAAAATGGGAAGTAGTTAAAGGGCTGAGGAGTTTTCGTCGTGGAAAAAACATTCTGGCTTGTTTTTACTTCAAGCACATCGATTATAAGCATACTCACCTCGTTAAAATCTTGAAACTGAAACACCTTCCGAATGGCATCACGTCCTTCGACCATCTCCCAGCCTTTACTAAGAAGGGGATCAAGCACTTCTTTTCGTTGGTCATCAGACAATTTCTAAAATTTATATGCTATCGTGAAAGACTAACGCCTTTTGTCTGAAGGACAAATGTATAAACAATGCAGGCTAGGCTATAATTATATCGCACTCGGAAATGGCGTATTTCGCCTCTTTGCGGATGCAAACTTCCAGATTTTAACTCAGTTGTAACTTTGTCGACATACCATCACATTTCCTAATGATTTTTGATTCGCTTAAGTGAGCGCAAGAAATGACAGAAAAAATTGCGCAACAGAAAACTGGTCAAGGTATAAACATATTTTTCTTTCTCATATACAATGCTTTCCTTGATTCTGCCCATTATTTATGAGGAAATTACCCGAAACT